GCAATGTGACTGTATTTTGACAAAATACTAGTCGACTAAAACAAGTCAAAACAAGTTACTTTTGTACAGACCAAGGGTCACCTTTATGTTAGTTGAATACGGTAACATGAGTGCATGTGAGTCACGTCCTTTCACCCATGCCTGGCTAACAATACAGAAGTTACAATGTCAATATAATAATAATTAATAAATATATATAAATGTATAATGTTATGAGATTTAAGTTATTTTGTCTAAACATTTATGTTTTTGTTACAATTTGTGTTCATTCTAGAATGAAAGATCCATAATTTATGTTTATTTCCTAATTTTTTATGGTGGTTGCGAGATCGGTCAAATTTATCGAACCCGTACAGAGATTAATTACTGAAAATAATGGATAAATTATAAAGTTTTTTCTTCAGAAACATTTGATAACTATTTGGATATCATAAAGATTTTGCATGTGAAATTTCAAAATTTCTGATGCATAAAAGTATTTTTAATGTTAAGATGAAACTAATTTGCATGATAGATAGGCAAGAAGTGAAAAGTAAAAAAGGCATGAGAGAAATATTGCTTTACAAACCTTAAAAGTTAATAAAAAAATTGATATTTTGCATATGAAAGCATTATAATATTTACTGATAAACTGCCAAATTTCGTTAACATTCGCTTGCTAATTTAAAAGTTATAGCATGAAAACTATAACAAGCATAAAATGGTTATGAGGTCGGTCCCACGGACCTGGGTTGAAAGAGTTAAGTGATAGTAATGTTCAAATTAAGAAACTTCTTTTTTTTTATTGTGTCCTTGAATGATATTTTATTATCATGAAATTTAAGATTAATGCAAACTTTTAGATAGTGAAGACACAAAAAGATAGTTTTTCTTAGCATTTATATTTAAATTACACATAAATAAATATCAGTATTTCATCTGTTTAGAAACAAGTCAACTCTGAGAAGTCTATCTACCTTATTAAATATAGTTAGAAGACTAGGAATGATAAAAATTATTAAAAATTATGCCAAATGTCCATGTAAGTTAAAAAAAACTTGTGTTATAAACATACAATTATTGAATTATTGTCATTTATAATCATTTCATTTTAAACAACAACATTATTTTTAATATCTTTAGAATTTTGTTTTTTCAGGCATTTTATTTCATGCTAATGTATTAGCCACGACTTCTGCTCTAGACTAGTTTTAAACGTAAAACGTAACAATGTTCTTTACTAAAGAGCTAAAACAAACAACAAAAAGTTCATATTTAAGTTCAGTATAGGACTGCTTCAGAATCCAGAGGAAAGAAGTCCTGAGTTGAATGTATGTATGCCACCTTAAAGTTAAAACTTTAATGTTCATATTGTATTAATTTTATCTCACAATTATAACCTCTGAGATTTCCTATATTGCTTCAACCCCTAGCAATAAGACTTGGCCACTATAGTTTTATAGATAGATCAACTAAGATTGTAGTTATATTACTGGATAAATTATTTCTGCTTACAGTGTAACATATCACCTTCGAACCTTAACAGGACAGAGAAGGTCTACAGGATAAAACATTTCTAACACTTAGCTTAATTTTAATGCAAAACATGTTATTGTGTACTGTATGATGAAGAATTAATGAAGCAAGTGCATTCATACATTGTTGTAAAACGGCTGAAAATAACAAAGTTCAAAATGACTCAAATGTAAAAGTTTTTTTCAATGTGATGAAGCTTCTGGGTCATTTTTTAAACATAGCTTACCAGAGTTTTAACTAAGGTACATAATATTTAAAAAGAGCGTAGGATACAGTTGTTTACCATAATATATATATATATATTCTCATTACAATTAGCCTGAACAGAAAATATCCAAGGTTTGCAAAATACTTTTACATTTAAAGCTTATGATAGACCAATTAGTAAAAAAAATTGATTTTACTGAACACCACAGTATAGGCAGTGTTTATTTTAGTGTATAACTTGTATAACAAAGTTACATATAGCAAGGTTTCTTGGGTCCATATGCTAAGATATTTTAAGAATTATATAAAAAAAAATTACTTAGACCAACTTTCACACACTTAGGTAACAAGTAAAGCATTACTGTGCACATGTGCCTTGATAAAAACAAAACTTAAAAGATATCTCTGATGGTTTGTATAATAACATATGGAGAAAAATGTTGCAACAAACAAACCTGATGCATTACAGATGTGATCAGGATCATACATGTCAAGAAAACCATATGGTCCGTAGTCAATAGTTAATCCAAGGATACTCATATTATCTGTATTTAGAACTCTAAAAGAAAGAAATAGTTAAATAAAAACATGTTTGTCCATTTTGACATGCAACACAAATATACTGATGAAACAGCAGAGTAGAACTCTCATAGAGCATGTTATTTTTCTCCAACACAACTAAATTCAAGAATACCAAAGTTCCCTGACTAGACTATATCTTATGAATCAGACAGATCATAAAAGCACAGGATATAGAAATCACACCAGCCTGATGAATGCTCAGAATAAACATTAAAATATCAACAAAGTATAGGGTCCAGCTAGACATAAGCAGTTCACAGAAAGGTCAATCCTAATTATAAACCACATTTATACTTGTTTTGTCTCTTTTTATACAGTGCACTTGAATATTTTCAACATGCCCATGGCTTATACTAAAACATCTCCATATAAAAGGCAAGTGAGCAACAGATAAAGGTTTTTTTATAGACAGACAGGAAATTCTTATAAAAAAGGATAGAAGATAATGTATTAATTTACAATTATACCATAAAAAGTACTTATATAATAGATACAACACTAAAGTTTAGATGAAATAAGAAACAAAAAATATAATATTCATTTTTTGACTTTCTTTAGCTAACTTTTAATTTTTTTTAAGAATTAAAATGAATTTCAAACAGGTACTCAACTCTGAAATACTGCAAGCCTTTCCTTGTTGAAATGCTCTAATGCTGTCAACAACCACGTAACTGCTTACTTGCTATAATTCATATTTTTAAGATGCAGTTGTGATGGAAAACTTCATATGTGATTGTGTGTAGATGGGTATGACTGTATTTCAGAGTTAAGTGCCTGTTTGTAATTCATTTTAATCATCAAAAATGTAAAATTCCAATCAAGTAGGCTTACGTTTGAAATATTGAATCCAAATACCCACATTAGAAAGAAGATGGGAACCTGAGAAATAAAATATAGGTTACAAGGCAGGAAGATAATAGCCTAGACCACACTAAAATATAGTCAGGAACATCTGAAGTAAAATCCTGAACTAGAAATATTTGAAGGATTAGATTCAAGGGAGAATTAGAAGAACAGATCAGCCTTATATAAAGACTGGACCTTAGAACAACCAGAAGAAAAAGATTATTCTCAGCTGGGTACCTCTTTGTCTTGGACAACTTTTAGTTCATAAAAAAGGGGGGATGGGGGTCAGTTAAGGCAGCATGATGAGTTAACGATGAGAATACAGGAGGTGACATAAATAGGTAGGAGAAACACTATGCTTAACAAAATCAAGAGTAGCATGAGAGGGGGAAATTATCTGAGGTAACAGATCTAAAGATAATTGAATGAATAGAGTTGCTTAAAAACTTAAATACATCAGTTTGATTTTCAATATCTCACTACTATAAAGGCTTGGTTTGGTCTGATATTTCGTTGGTGGTAGTGTCCAGGGTCACTGATGAGGAGTGGAATTGTCCGAAACTAGTTTGGCTCACAGACACACGCCCCAATGAAAGAATAGTCCATTCCAAGCTTTTACTTGTTGTTAAACAAATGTTTAAACAACTCTATTTATTCAATTATGTAAAAACTCCCCAGTGTCGGCTAACAATACGAAGAATTAAATTGTGGCAAAATGCTACAAGTTCTTCAAATACCTATAGAATGATAAGTTTCTTTCTTGTGAGTGTAAAACACTTAAATATGCCAGTTAGATCTAAAGATAGCTTCCACTGAGAGACAGATCTTATTGAAGGCATTTAATGTGAGCATGAACTAAGGGAATTACTTAATAAATTGAAGTCATCACCCCTAAAACAGCAAGGACATCTTTGAAAGGTGGAGTAGATGAGAAAAGTCAACACATATGAGACTCCAGAAATTACAAATCTAAAGGAGAGAGGTGAAGAGTTCCTTGAAAAGTATTTATCTAAAACTTGGACTCATGGACAGTTCATTCCATAGAAAAACCTAACTGGGCGATTAATGAAGAATAAGTAAAATGATGACTGAATTTGAATAGGCTAATCATCCATGTAATGATAAAAATCACTACTGAAATTGTATATCATACAAGCAATGGCTTTGAATACACAGGTGACAATGTTAGGAGCTGAAGCCAGACTGGTAACGGAGAACTGCAAACTGATAAACCACTTTCTGATGGTGAAAGGAAAGAAACTTTCATGAAGACAGATGAATCAGGACATGAAGATAAGCATCTCTGAGATCCACTTTTGTCATTTAAAAACTATGATAAAGAAATCTGCATAAAATGATTGAGATGGATAAGATCTATTATTGGTCTCCAATCCTCTGCTACAAAAAGATGAAAGAAAAACCTGGAGATGTATAGTGCAGTGCTCCCATGGCACTTTTCTGTAAAAGATACCAAACTTCCTGATCCAAAATTTCAATAGAAAATGTGTTATACAAAAAAGGAAAAAGAAATTTGGAAAGTTGAAAGCGGAGAAGGATGATGATATTGAATACATTGAAGAATGTAATGTGAACATGAAACACCAGGGCCCCAAAGCAAAGGTTCCAAAGATGAACAAAAGATCTTAGATGGCTCCCTAAAGTATTTAGGGGGGGACTGCATGAAAAGGATAAACAATTAATTTAAGAAGAAAAAGAAACAAAAGACTGAGAAGTAGTAGGGAAAGAAGCAATAGGACAATGGCCACTACTAACTGGATGATTAGGAATAATGCATGATGCCAGAGCCATAAACATGTGTTGCTACCATGCTTCTCCTGACTAAGAAATCAATTCCAGACAAATACCAGAAAAACAAAAGGGTGAAAGAAAGAAGCCTTTTCAAGGTTGGCAAAAATATTGGCAGGAGGCAAATCCTTTGTAAAAGAACTTGACAAGCTAAAATGTAAAAAGAATAAGCAGCCATGTTGTAACCAAGAATAAGTCAGTAAGAGCTACAGAAAGAGAAATATGTAAAGCAGCCTATTGCTCCTGAGAAAACGAATCAGGAGAATAATAATAGCTAACAACTAATACCTAAACTGTTGACAAAATGTTAAAAATAAGTATAATTATAAAATGTCAGTGATAATACTGATGAGAAGTCAAAGTGGAAAGACACATGGAAGATCTCCCCCCTACACAAAATTGGAATTAATGCAGGAAAGCAATGCTTATCAAAGGTTTCCTTGACATATGCACAGTAAGTCATGTGGAAGATGGAAGAATGTTGAATTATGGGTAAGTTGATGCATACTTTGCATTGTGTCAAGGACACTCAGTAGTTTGAGTCACAAGGTTTTTGATAGCATGAGAGCAACTCAATGAGGAAAGAGTTTCAGTATTTCAGAGGTAAGACTACTTTATAAAAAAATGGCTTAGTATTTCTTTACTCTTAGTAACATACAATGTATATTTTAATGTCAGTCATTTGTGCACAAAACGTTTTCCAATCTGTTTTTGTTTCTTATTTCATACCTGCATTATACAATTTATTGTACAATCTTATCTGGCACTAGAATTAATAACAATGAAATGAATTTTTTTACCCATTATAGACGTTATTGTGTGATTAATGACAACTATACACAAAATGTAAGTTTTTCAAGTCATATGTCTATTTTCCTCTATTTATATGTTCATATACATTCTAGTTTTTAAATTCAAATCAAAAGTACACAGTTTAAACTGGTATGATAAAGTTAAAGACAACCTTTATTCTTTTTTTTTCTTTCTTCAGACAATTATTTACATTTTTAAACAATCTTATAAACCCTTTATCTTAGAAATAAATCTACACAAAAATTAAGGTCCACGATTTACTTTGTAGTTAGTACATGTGCTTCTTCAAAACTGCAATACTTTAATATTACAAAAGCAAATTACAAATAAAATTAATTTCTACTTAGGCTATATTGACAAATGCTGTTGAAGAGTACATAATTTTCAATATTTTTTTGTTTAAACTTCTTTAATCCTACAACACATAAAGATGTACAATAAGTACTTACCCATGACAAAAACCTACACGTTGCCAGGTTGCTACAAGTCTTGCTGTTCTTAAAACAACTTCTTTATTAAAGATGTACAATAAGTACTTACCCATGACAAAAACCTACACATTGCCAGGCTGCTACAAGTCTTGCTGTTCTTAAAACAACTTCTTTAAAGAATTCTCTGTACTTTTCAAGAGCATTATCTTCATAACGGGTGTGAACCTGAACATTAGTTTATGAAAAGTTAATACAACTACTTAACCATAAGTTATAAAACCTCCAAAATTATACACTGTACATGGAAATTACATTTCATAAGACTAATAGGATATATATGTATTAGGTCATCAAGAAATTAATGTACCATTTATTGGATGAAAATACCCGAACAACTTATATATCCAAACAAAACATTTATTAAATGAAATAGTTTCCCTTTTTATCGATGATTCTTTTTCAACTTACAATCAGGTTGTTAATGACCTGATTAAAGAAATCACTTGGCTTTGAAGTAAAAAGCATGTTGATGTCCTTTTTAACACCTTCCACGAAAAAGATGGTAATCTGATGGTGCCATATCTGGAGAATATGGTGGGTGGGGGAAGAACTTCCCAACCCAACTCCATAGTCTTGTGCTGCATCAAACGTGCCATATGTGGATGTGCATTGTCATGGAGAAGAAGAACACCTTTCTGATTGATGAGTGAAGGGCGTTTCTGATGAAGGGCTTGATTTAAACTTTCCAGTTGTTGACTATAGATCTTTGCATTGACAGTTCGCTGTGGATTAAGGAGTTTGAAATGAATTACTCCACTGATGTCCCACCAAATGCAAAGCATCACTTTCTGTGGATGGAGTCCAGGTTTTGGGATTGGAAGTAGTTTTAGTCAAGGAATGAGCCATTGTTTTTGGCATTTAATATTTGTATAGAGAATCCATTTTTCATAACCGGGCACAATTTTGTCCAAAAATGGTTCACGTGCAATATGCGCCAGAAGAGACGAAGCAACGTTCACACATTTGGAACAATGATCATCGGAGATTTCGTGAGGCACTCAAACATCTTCTTTATAGAGTTTCCCATATTCCTTAGATGTTTAGGTATTGTTTCATGAGAGACATGCAATTTCAGGGCCATTTTATGAGTGTGTTGCCTTGGGTTAGACTTAACAAGCATCTTCAGAACATCATATCAATTCCATCATGTTGTCCCCTGCCATCACAGTTTTTAATGGTAAAGTCACCTGAATGAAATTTGCTGAACCATCGTTGACACTTCCAAACATTCAAAATATTTCCATAAACTTCTTTGATATTCTTTGTGGCTACAGAGGCATTACTTCTCTTCTTGAATTCAAACAGCATTACATGCCAAATATGTGTCTTGTCATGTGCCATCACTATAAGGGTTTTTGTTTGTAATTAAGTACAAAGCTACACAATGGGCTATCTGTGCTCTGCCCACCACAGGTATCAAAATCTGGATTCTAGTGTTGTAATTCCGCAAACATACCACTGTGCCACTGGGGTGCGACTATAAGGGATAAGGGTATATTAAACTTTACACATTATATAGGCTACGCTAATGTGACATTTAGGCGGTTTGTTTAACTGTTATACGTGATGTACGTTTTTTTGGGGGGTTGGTTAATGAAAGTGTTCCAAAACACGACATTAATTTCTTGAGGACCTAATACATATAAATGTTCTTGAAGTAAATATCATACAATTGCATATAAGTTCTACCATTAACATAATTTTTATTATTATTCAAAAGTTTATTATTCAGTTTATTTAACTGTTATACGTGATGTACGTTTTTTTGGGGGGTTGGTTAATGAAAGTGTTCCAAAACACGACATTAATTTCTTGAGGACCTAATACATATAAATGTTCTTGAAGTAAATATCATACAATTGCATATAAGTTCTACCATTAACATAATTTTTATTATTATTCAGAAAAAATGCAGTTGATGTGTGGTGAAAGACATTAGGCAAAAAAAAATCTGTTCACAAAATAAAAACACCGAGTTATGTGTATGAGGCTCAAAACATATTTTGACACGTGGTGAGAAATAGAAAAATATATGGGAAATGGAACTTCAAAAATATACACCATACATCAAAAGTGAGGACACAATTGTAGAACCATAAATTTTAATCCAGTTTTTACTCAAAGTATTATTGTTATAAACAACAGAATTTATCCAAAGAATGCTCTGAGCCAACAGATATCATGACAGACATAATTTAAAAGAACAAACTGATAAATGAAATTAATATTTGAATATATTGTCATTTTTTGCACAATGAAATAAGATTAGCAGCTAATTTTTTAAAGTACTCAAGTTTAGAAATATATATATAATTATGAAAATGCCTTCCAAATTTGGATCAGTCAAACATTTCTTATGGATTTATGCCTCATAATTCTCTGATTACTACAATTTTATATGATATAGCCCAGTTCTGAGTGAAATTCTATCAGTATCTACTGTTGTAAAAAAATGCTCAGGAGTTCAAGATATATCATTAGTTGTATCAGTAAAGCTAAATAAAACAGTGCATTGAAATTTTTCTACAAAAGTTGCTTTACTTTTCACTATAACATAATTAACAACAAAAGAATATCAACGAAAGTGAATAATTGTAAACAATAGTGGCAGAATGAACAATTGGCTTGTTATGCACATCTGTATGTATGCATATAACTTTTATTTGTATCTGTAATTTCTATTGTAGATTAGTGTACATAAATATATTTTGCTTTTTTTGGGGTAAATACTACTTTGTATTTACGAAACAGTTGCAAACATATAATTATTTGATTTACATGTACACCGAATTTTAAACAAACCTCAGGATAAAATGTTTCTACAGTATAGTCAAGTAGCTTGTGCAAAATGTCTTTTCTTCCAACACTTGGCCCTCGTCTCCCAGTAAACTGGTCAATGGTTTTGAAAATTTCAAAAGATCCAAATCTTTGGGAAAAATGTGGAATGTAAATGGTTATTGCATACAAGTTACATTAAATGAAAGTAAAATATGCTTAAATATATTTTATTAAAAAATTGTATCTAGTGTACCTCAAGGAGTATTTAATATAAGACTCTATCTATGCACTTTCAACATGGATTACCTTTTTTTAAAGTTATATAACAAATATACATATAAACTACACAAAACAAAATAAGGCAGAAAAATGTACTATTCAATAATATAAAAACTAGTTAATAACTCTAAATTACAAGATGAATCATAAATGGAAGTGAGATTGACACAATGGTTAGTAGAAATGATTCAGAACTTTTCAGATCTCACCTTCGTAAACAAACTATAAAGCTGACAAAACAAGTCAAGAACTCACTGTATTATTATATTTACTGTTTTGTAAATCTATAGTACAGGACGATTCAACAGTTACACAAAATGTGATGCTTTTAGGTCCTACCCTTATATGTGGTAGTTGTTCAAAGTGTGCATCATTAATATTATAACACAATGCACAACATGACTGCTTCCATATGCTCTTCCAATATTACTGACACATCCCAGCAAATTATTGTAAAAAAATGCAGAGAAACAGATAATGAAATACAAATGCAATTTGGAAAAATATTAGTAAGAAAATATCACAGTTGTGCTCAACTTCTGCATCACTGACATATTACGACTAACTTTACCTGTTTGATACTCAAGCATGCTATTCAGACAAATACCCGTTTTTAGCTTTCATTTAAATGTATTATAAAAAAAAAACTTTTGTCATAACAAATCTTTTATTCATTCCCAAAATTCTTATAATTATGTAATCCCAAAACAACTTATCAAATAAATTTGAAGTTTTATACCAGCATTATATAATCTTTGCAATACACAAGAAATGGACAACATGAAACAGTAACGGCATCATTACAATGGGAAGATGCCAAAAACATACACACATTTTATGTATGGATGTCTTGATTAATCTTCACTTTTTAACAACTATTCAACAGACAAAGTTTAATATGTCTTTGGGTGATATTTCATAAGCATCTTCATTGTTACCACAGCTACAAATTTGTAAGCAAAACATAGTAAAAGGTACAGTTAAATCTGTATTTAGTCTTGGATTTAAAATCATAAAATAAGTATTTAAAAGCACCTTTTAGTTCTATACTGTGATTTAGTTACTTATATAAAGAAAGGCTCAAGCTAAAATCATGAATGGGCTTAACTACTGTACTATATGATTCAAAATTGTATAGCAAACCTAACTTTATTTAATCAAAATTTAACACACATTTCAGATATAAAAAAACAATAAGAAATTTTTGAAATAAATGTTTGTTTTGATCATGAAAAAACAGTGAAAAAATTCATTGACCAAACCATATAAATTTGAGATGAGGTCATGATAAAAATAACGTATCATAGAATTATATTTCAGACAGGTAAAAAATGATGCAGCTTAGAATTAAAAAGTTTTTTTTAATGTATTGATATCCTTAAATCTTTACTCATTACATGTACAATACTACAGGCCAGTGGTTTCTGATCTGGAGTAGAGGGGGGGGGGGGGGCGACAATGAAATTAAGTTATTATCTAAAATGTCTATTAACTCATTGGGTGGAGGTCCTCAGTCAAAGTCCCTAAACTAAAAAGTTTAGAAAATGGATACCATAGACAGGAGCATACAGATATTTCAAAAAAATACCAGAGTTGAAATAATGTGTTATCATCCATAATATTAAACAATAACTACAGCAACCAAAAACTTATCGATACATATTTGAACTGATGGATACGTAGAGGAATGTTTTGAAAAGATACAAACACTTTTTTCAAGTCATCACACAAATCTTTAGATCATATCTGATAACCCACATTACATTTTAAAGCTATACTTTATTTGTTGTATAAAATATTTAAGTATGAATTTTCTATGTTACATCAGGCAGGTGAACAGTCTTCTTGATAATATATCAGATACACGTACAGGTCTCAAAATTGTGTAATGTTGTAGTGTCATCATCTCTAAATGTAACTCATTTCCTTAAAAAGCAGTTACTAGCATTCAGCTCAATTCCAGTTCACAATATCAATACAATATTTAAACTGCAATATATCTGTTGAGAATTAACATTTAATGCTCATTTGGTTGGTCCCAATTTATTTAACCAGGATTGGAAGGATGGGCAGCTATCCAGACACTGCTTTACTCATGATAGACCATGAGTTAATACAGTCTGTGATGGACATAGTTATGATGCAAAACACAATGAGGATGAACCAACTAGAAGTCTTGTTGCCCTTATAGACCAGAAAGGCCATACAGTGTGGTTTTATGAATTATTATATCTGGACAGGCATCATTTGCAACAGAGTAGGATATAACTTGTAATTTAGTGACTCTAAAAGGGAAATAATGAAATATAAGCTTACCCACTCACAGTTGAACTGATTCATAATTCAACTGAAAGCTGATAACAAAAGTAACAACCTACAGTAACTCAAATTAAACTATAGAAAAAAAGAAGCAAAAACAACAAAGTTGTTTCTGCTTAATTTTAAAACCTAAATCAAACACGAGTAAAATTTGAACATGTCTTCATGCTACTATGCCAAATTGAGAAGTGAAGGTTTGGTTCTACAGTACAGAGGGAGCCAGCTATGCCAGGAGTGTGTGTGTTGCACTCCTATTGGTGGAGGATTGTGGTATGCTACAGTGTAGCTGTATCACGTTAAACACATGGAGTAGGTGGGAGTACCAAGACTAGTGGTGGGAAAAAAATGCATATAGAGGGCAGCACTGAATGAGAAAAGCTATTATTTGACAGGAGGTATCAGAAAAACCACAGATCTGGGAATTTCTCTACACATTCTTTTCAGTCCTGAAAATATTTTCATGTTAAATTATATCTATTTCAACACTTATGACAAGGCATCAGGTAACTCTTGCTTAGTTAGGTTTAATGAGTAATAATCATATGCAATTAACTAATGTAAAATACAAAATCTTTTAAGCTAAATGCCCCGACATATCACGTATGTGTACATCAACATTTTTTGTGTGAAATACACAGTTAGGTTTATTGAGTAAGAGTGACCCTAGAACACAGAATCATGGAATGTCCAAATTCCTGAGGACAGGGAAGGAGTGAGGACATGTAATTGAGTGAATGCACACACAAACGTACATCATGTACTGCTCACAGTTTCTCTAAAACAGTGAATAAAAACAACACAACCATCTGAGTGAATGTCAAGTTGGCATTATAGATAGTACACATAAGATACTTTTTTTTATTTCAAATGACATTGAAGCTGTATTCAGGAAGAACTAGTTATAAACTTAAAACATTGTGTTGATAAATTATTGTGGTAAATTACAATTAACTGTACATTATTCACTATCAATTCACTGCAGATTAACTAAACTTTTAGGTGCGATGACATCTGACATAAAAATGTTCTTATCAGTTCCACAATATAATCTTTGGATCTCAACCAAATCTTTTGGGACACATTTTGTGCTACTTTTCAGCAACCCTGCCTGAATAATGCCTTAAAGTTAAAGGATGTCACCTTAAACAATGACTAAAGAGCCTGACACATCTACACATGAGGTGCTACTTTTGTAATACCACATAGATGTATATATTTAAGTTTGACTTGTATGAAAGGCACACACTTTAATTGCTACATTGGCTCTTAATGTCAAAAGAGGTGTATGAAATTACGATGAAACCAAATCAGTAAGGAAATAAGAACATGGAATAAAATATATGTACCATGCCAGTATCATATTTATTTATGCACAAAAAAACAAGTTTGAAACAAAAAACTGAAAGTATGATTTCATACCTTAGAAACGTAGGTGCTATCCTTAATACTACTGAGCATTTTTCTTCTTTTGGATGTCCATCATAGAAGATATCACGCACAACTTTACTATCTGATGTTATACAGGCTCCTGCTCTAGTAGTTGGAATACCTAGATGGTGCATTGCCTATTCAGAACACAAGTGCAACTGATTTTTTAGCATTTTATTCAAATGTGAAAAAATAAAATCTAAGTTTTATACGTGAAATATAAACTTAAACAACACAGCTTAAATTTGGAAAAACATGCTCAACACTACAAGTACACGCACTTTATATGTTATATTTCAACCAGATCAGTTAGCACTACATGTGCTTTTCAATAAATCATGAATACAATAAAACAAGAAACTGCGTGTACACATAAACTCACATAAAACTAAACCAAAGATCATAATGAAATACAAGTTCCAAAAACATGTGAAGATTATTGGCAAATTTTGAGAAATATGTTAAAAAAACCCCAAGCATATAGAAAATATTAACTGGAGTATGTTTTTGAAAAATATACTTTTACAATGACGTTTTCCTTTCTCTCAGTGGAAACATTTAACCAAACTGCATAAACCTTAATAAAACTTACAAAATAGAATACAGTTTCAGTTTTCAAAAATCATACACAATAATATTATTTGCTTTTTTCTACCATTTTGTACATTGTGATATTTCTAAGATTTTTTGATAGACATTATTTTGCAAAACAAAAAACATCCTAAACTGAAAATGTATTACCAAACATAATTTCCTCCGCTGAAACTAATAGCTATTTCTCGATCTTCATCTTTGTCATCTAACATTGTGTTTGCTTGGAACATCCCAGGTCTGGATTGATGGGATCATATGCCATACTCCACCAAAGTCCAGAACTCATCCCACCTGAATTTAGAAACAGTTATCTTTACTACCCCCATCAAGTGAGCAAGGAGAATTCAGCTTACCCATGGAATTAAGTAGAGGATGTGGAACACTGTCCCACCAAAGACCAAAGATGGGACCACACTACGTTCATATTTACGAGAAGATAGTGAACCCCCTGCATGAACAATACAAGACCTCACAGTGTTCATAATGGGGTCCAAGTAACCACACCGGCTAGCTAAGCTTCAAATCTGGACTTGTTTTACAAGTAGGCTCCCGCATAGGTTGGTCCTGCTCCTACCAACAACTGGAAAAAACTTCCAGGGACCCAGGTAGGAGGGTCCCTAACTTTACCCTCTTCTCCATGAATGGAGAAAACTCAACACTCCAAAGGTAAACCCTCTGTCCACCACCCCAACAACTGGGAACTGGGTGTGGTAAGGACTCCCAAGCTCCACTAGTAGAAGTAAGGGGGGAACGTAAGCATTGAGAGTCCTGAGGAACAGGTCTCCCAAGACAGTGCAACAGGAGAACCACGTTCCCTAATTTTTAAAAGCAAACTTATCTCGACTGATTCAACTCTAAGATCAGCAGGGACTGGCTAAATCCCCTTTAGCTTTACTCATGATAGTCCATGAGTAGCAGTCCATTAGAAGTATTGTAATATGATATGAGCATCAAGAATTACGTCCAGATGGTCTCATGGAAAACCTCATCTCAATGGAGCCCATTGCAACCAGGAACCGATATAAAGGTTGCTAGTGCAGAATTTAAATACAAGCACACCCAACTGGGCAACACTCGCCACTGAGTGAGATCCAAAAAAAAATCAATAGGGACCCCTAGAAGAGAAAGAAGCTATAACTGTAAGTCAGATAACACTTTACTGACCACCCTGTTAAAATCTAGTAGAGGTAGTCAACACAGCCACAGGGGGAAGATGAGGTCCCCTCGAAGAGGAAACTGCCAGATCATAAAGTTCATGAGATATGAATGTGTTGGGAGAAGTCCACCTACCAGCCCACAAAATAACTACTAAGAAGAAGGATGGAAACAATTAAGAGAACCAATGGAATGAGGAGTGGAAGGAGGGGGTCTTGAGAAACGAGGGGATGGACATGCAGAAGTAGAATAGGATCAAGCAGGCAAAGACAGAAAAGAAGACTACAAACATGCTGTATCAATTCTGGCTTCTAAAGATTCTGGAATTCCAGCAAATAAATAAGGCTGAAAAAGAGGAGCTTCCCATAAATCTCGAAGGGCAGAAGAAGGTAAGTGAATACCCTCCAAAAAGCATCACAACCCAACAAGTTCCAGCAACAGACAAACCACGACACCAAGGCAAGTCCTGAAGAGGACAAACGTGTCATAATAGTGACCAGCAAATGGCCCTGCTTGTCGTCAAATCATTGAGGCACTTGGTGATACGCTTCAGACAAAAGTTGAAGAGAAGAGAAGTATCGTAAAACAGTAGGAAGAGTCAAACGAGTCCATGAAAATTGTGACTTGTTAAGAGAAATATCAGGTTTGTACCTGGCACCCCATCAATCCAACAACGGATCCAACTTTTAGTGTCCAAATATATATCATCCTGATGATGATATGCCAGGGCATGTTGTTCAAAGAAACAAAGGGGTGATAGCAACACCCTCACGTAATTGTGTTGCAAACCACACTACACACATAGCAATATCAGAAGAAGGAGGAAAATCTAAGTAATCCCCTTAAGAATGATCGAACAAAGCAGGTTAGACTCAAAAGCAACTGATTGCATCTCCAAAACTTCACAAACACATGTAACTAACTGCAGAAAAAAGGTGGCTGATCAAATGAGTCCTCCAGAGAAGAAGCTCTAGTGAAAGAAGGAAAAGAAAACAGGGAGTCAAAATTTTCCCCAGAATATCCCATTACAAAGTGAAAATTCAAATCAGAACCTCCCAGTGAGATACCCCCACGACACATGAAAGACTCAATCTCACCCCGAATCAGGTCATCGACAGCTCCCCCCCCCCCCTGACTGCTGACCACTACTAGATAACATAGGGGGAATAAACGAAGACTGAGTAGCCTCCGTTCCTGAAACTGTTACACAGGAATTCATGTCCAATTTCTTTTTTTGTAATATATTTCTAGGAAAAAAAACAAAGAATTCCCAATTATTAGAAAGCAAAAACTAAGAAAATGTAAATCACAAAACATTAGTCTGAATGCTTGTGCTTTGTCAAGAAAATTGATCTTATCGTCTGCATACAGTGCTTATATACAGTACCTGCACAGAGGGCTGGCATAGTTTTGCAAATTAGATATTGCCAAGGGCAGTCGAGTGGGGTATATAAACACTAGAGCAAGTGAACATAAAGATAGATAGCAAAGATGAAGATCGAGAAATAGCTATTAGTGTCAGTGGGGATATGTATGTTTGGAACACTTATTTCATCTTAGAATTTAAATTTTTTCCTTGCTGATCACAAAAATATAATAAAGTTTCATTTCAATAAATAATACGTTATATTACTTACCAGAGTTGTTTGAATATGATAAACTTAACAATAACATTTAATAAATAAAGAATTGAGTCATGTTTGAGTCATCAGAATATTTCACCGTCATCTACTGTACTTTCTAAACTTAACTAGGTTTACCCAATGTCTTGTCAAAGAAGAAAATTTATGTACCCCTTAAACAAATACAACTTAACACAAAAGCATTTTGAAGAATGAAATGAACATTTACAAAAAACTATGAAAAAAAACCTATATTTGTTTGTTCTTAAGTCTTTTAAACTTCACCCTCACTAAATTATATTGTTGTTCTCTGCAGAAGCTACATCTAATAACTTTTTAAAAACAATAAATTACACCAGGCAACAACAAAAATTCTCTGCTACTAGAAATAATGCAACTGTTTCTGAGTAATTTCATGATGCTGATTCTTAAAATCATGTTGAAAATTAATGATCGCCTCTAGTTTGAGTTGTGATAGATTTATTTAAAATATTCTTATAAATCATGAAAATACCTATTTCTTTAATAACTTTATTTATTCATTGAAAATTGCATTTACGAATGTATAATCTGCATGCTTTTAATAAGCTTATTTTATGTTCATAGCATGAGCAACAAGAATCAATGGCTTAGTATTCCCATTGTGCAAAAGTACTGATTTCAGACTAACTTTAGATGAGTCAATAAAAAGTCTTCATTCTTTTTCAGTACCAAATTCTTCCATTAGTGCATCAGCATTCTTACAGAAACACAAAGTATCTTGTATGCTGTAGTGAGAACCAAGACTTTGATGGTAACTTCAGTAAACTGAAGCTCTTGTTCCTGGGGCTAATAAATTCCATTGTTGTAAATGAGAGCCAAGAAGTTCCCCATGTTGCTTTGTTAGAGACAAATCACGAATCAGATTATTTAGCTCTTCTTCTGTGATCAGATGAGGCAGCTTATGTTGAGGTGCCACAGGAATAGAATTACTGGATGAAGATGATTCATTGTCTTTTTCTGCACGATAACTCTTCTGTTACCCAATTCTCTGGTGAGCGTGGCATTGGAAGACCATTTCCATGAGGTACTGGTTTCATCGCAGATGCAATATCTAGATATTTACCGCATTGTTTAGTTTTGTCTGAATATCAAGAAACATTAATCATGCAAAAATAACAGACAGTTAGATGATCTTTTGGCTCACCCATATCATGGAAACTGCAAATGACATATTAGCTCTCTTCTAACAAGCCACTGTATCAAGCCAAATATACAAACTATACCACATGCGGTTGAAGCCTGATGTTTTTCTTGGTTACCAATTTTCCACTCAAAATAGTGGTAGTAAGCTACTTTTACCTTGTGTATGTTTTTCCTTTGTGAAACTGTAATATATTTTCCACAAATGTAGTAGAAATTGATTTGGTGATTTTTGCAATTTTGGACTTCACTTGAGCTGGAGGCAGCTAGTATTTCAAATTATTTTCCAAAAAATATAAAAGAACTTATGTTTATAGAACTAGAGTTTGAAAGAATTTAAAAAACAAAGATTTGCTGAATTTGATTATATTGTGGGTATGATGTGAGGAAGAAGATTGGACACTGTTTTGACTGAGCACAGAGTGAAGCAAAATAACCAAATGAGAAAGAGGCATCTGACCCAGCCTCTTTTATGATCAGTCAAGGGACTTCTTGAATGTTCTAGCAAACTGAGCATGTGAGGGTTTCATGATACTGATAAATGTTATTTCTAAAGTGTAAATCTTTTTCTCCTTCAAGTTATCTTGATTTTGGAACAACTTACTATAATACAAAGATAATTTCTGTCTGAAAACTTTTTTTCTAACCTATTAATCTTAATTTGTTACATGTGCTTTATATATTTTATGTATACATATACACATTTTAATACACTTGCTAAAAACATTATGTACAGTTTAATATCCATGACAGCGGGTACTAATAAATTTATTTCTACCTCACTACACAAAAATTCACGTATGCTTGAGCGAAGCACCTTCCTCCCATCAGCAGATCGAGAATAGGGTGTAGGACCAGCCCCTTTCACTTGAATTTCCCAGCGTTCCCTTTTTTCATTAATTATTTCCCCTAGATAGCTGTAAGAGGAAAATAACATCCTTCTAATTCAAATCTAGGAATAATGTGCTGTTTAATAGCAAGTTTTTGGTTTAGTATTATATACAGTATTGTGATAGAACACATACATATACTTTACACATTGGCATTCCTAAGAGGTATTTTAGTTTAACACATGAAAATAATTACATATACTAAACAATGCATATTTATGTTATAATTATAAATATTACAATAAAACTTATAAGTTTAAATTAAAAGGCTTGATCACATTATTTTGTAATATGAGAGAAATGGCAGGATTGACAGTTGACTCATGATCTTGCCAAGACAGATATTGTTATTTATAATGCATGAAGATATTTTCATACTTAACCTGCCATTACAGACATAAGGTGTAGTTTACAATCAGCATTCTCTTACAGCTACAGTCATAGAACTGTGTCACCCAAGACAAACACGGTGATTATTAATTTCAATGTCTAATCGTTATATTAAAACAAACCAGAAGATGAAAAATTAAATGTGATTTTCAAACAAAATAATCATTTCTAAAAGGAAAAAAATCTAAATAGACAGCAAAATGCTCACAAAAATCTCTGGATCCATATACTGGTTGATAAAACCAATTACGAAATAATAATTTTAATTCTTACATAGCTGCACCATCTCCTAGCTGTCCAGCAAAGTAGCCAAACTGGTGACCACAGTAGCAATGAGCAGCAGTATCTGAACCTGGCAATATCTTGTTACCAGAAAAATAATCAGCAAAGTCTTTTCTTCTAAGTTCTGTTTCTGGCAAACCTAAAAGTGACATAGCCGGTAATGAATATGCAACCACTTCTGGTTTATCTAAAGGAGTTGGGCTCACTTTAGAAAAACATGCCCCTTCCACTACTCTAACGAAGTTCCTTTCTTCTTGGTCTATAGGCAGTCGTCTTAGTGCTAAGTTGTCAAACTCCAACGTTTCAAGTGTAGTCATAGTTGAAACTAGTCGATACAATTTTGATTTCCAAGTGTAGCACGTACGACTAAATCTAAACTTAAAAACTAAAGGTAAACTTCGAACCATAGATGTTCTAGTCTACTTCCGACTCCGAGTACTACTTCAACTTCCAGAAGTTGTTGTAGAAACTAGTTTGATCTAATTATTTAATATTATGTGCTAAACAGCTTCAACGCTGACTATTTAACACCGGTAACGCCTTACTTAAGAAATACTTTACAAAAAACATATTAAGAAATCTTCATATTAATCTTAAACCACATTTCTACTCTTTCTCTTCTTGTTGGTATTACTACAAGTAGTACTATATTTGTAATTATGTAATACACAAGTTATCCCTCTAGTGGAGTAAAATGTAACCTGAGTAAATATCTATTTAATATTAATTTCTTACAAATCAACACATCTCCGAACTTTCCAGCAAAATAGCCAAACGTATGACCGTAGTCTTAATGAGCATCAGTATTTGGTCCAGGTAATACCATTTTACAACCAATTTTTTTTTCCTGAGTTCTTTTCTTGCAAATATAGAAGTTACATCACAGAAAATGAGTGTATGAAATATATATATATACAAGTTGAGGTACCCGTTCTTTGTCCGGGTTATGGACTTAAACAAATGTGGGGGTGGATGCTATAACAAATATCGTAAAAATACTGACTTTCACACAATTTATTTATAACATAACATATTGTTACAGTATTCATTTTTGCCTCAGCCAATGTTTTGTATAAGCTTTAAGAACTTACTATGTATATACTTAAAATATGCTCTACAGTGTGCATGGTCAAGGTGATTTTTTACGAAAAGGTATCTGGAAAAGTAGTGGCCGTTACATTTTAAAGAATTATTCATGGTCACCTTGTTTTCAGGGTACCAACTGAAATCTATCATTACCAATCACATAAGATGCGTTTACTTATAAATACCTAGATACATTAGCCTTAAAACGTCTAGGTTCAAGGATTCAATACAGAGTTGCATGATTTGTTATCTGTTTTATACCATTCCAAACACTACTATAAAAAGCAACTGAAGGAAACAGTTTGAAATTAAGATGAGTTTCATATAGATTACTTAGCCTCTCCAAATAAAATATATTATTCTAAACGTGGTATTGTATAAATAAATAATTCAAAAATATTTCATTGATTTATATTTAAAAAAGCAATTAAAAATGTTTTCCTTCGCGAAAAATTTCAATCAATAATGTTCTTGTCTTTGAACATTCTTATAAAGATGTGATTTGATAAAACTGTAATTCTTAACTTTGTCTTAATTTCAAAAACACAGTATGCAGTTTACGATGCTTACGTATGTTTACGATCACTGACATACAATACAGATACTTTTTTTTACGATATGTTACGTATTACAATTTCATATGGTCGCCCCCAGTGGCACGGAGGTATGTCTGTGGACTTACAACGCTAGAAACCGGGTTTCGATACTCGTGGTGGGCTTTGTGTAGCTTTGTGCTTAATTTCAAACAAACAAACAAATTAGATAGCCTGAAACTGACTTAAATTGTAATTTAGATTAAGTAGTTAAATAAATACTGATATGTATCCAGTTTAAGATATTTGCCAACAAGATTGATAAAGACAGTTTTCTTTGTTTTATAGAAATATGTTTAATATACAAACAATAATATAATTTACAATAACGGTTATTACAAACAATGATTTATTTACAAAAGATTTACAAACTTACAAGCAATATAAAGTCTTCTTTCTAGTTTGGAACTTCCTTGGTGTCTTATCGAGGTTTCACAACGAGCGAGTTAATTTCGAGTTGATGTACGTACAATTCTCTTAATAGGGAGCTAGCTAGCTCTGTGGTCTTTACTGATCACACGCCGATTTTTCCTACCGGTGACGTTAATTAATGTTTTCGTAAAAATACTAATGCTCGAATAAGGTTTTAATTTAAAAAAGTAAAGTATATTGGATGAACTTTGACAAATTTTATTTATTTTTGAGTATTTTAATGTACTTAATTTATATATGGAGTGTATTGTATGCTTGTACATTTGGAAAATATATGTATTTAAATTATATGTTTGTTTGTTTGAAGTTAAGCATGAAGCTACATAACAGGCTATCTGTGCTCTGCCCACCACGGGTATCGAAACCCGGTTTCTAGTGTTGTGAGTCCGCAGACATACCGCTATGCCACTGGAGGGTCAGGAGCTATCGATTTCCTATTAGTTCACCAATCCAGTTCACTCTAAATTAGAACACCGTCAACAGTAAATCGAACATCAATAAACGAGTTTAAAAAGTTCATATCATATTAAATTAATATCAAACATTCTTGAATTTAAATTGTTGAAACAAATCAAACAAACAATGCTAAATAAATAATATTGGTAAACCAACAGGTAAACTATCACAATTATTTGATTTAGAATATTATACGTTACATATATACAATATCTCCTCATATTTGTATCTTTAAGTATTATTTCACCTTATTATATTAATACATACATAAAACAATGTCTGAAAATATATTTTAACCCTCATGAGTTTGTATAGAGACTTCGTCAAAGTTCATGATATTAAAATCTTAATAACGCTGTTAACGTCTCTACACCAAAGGCCAACCTTTATATTTGTTCATTTTCGGTTTATTTTTATTGATGAAAATCGCTTCTTTAATCTTTCGGTCTATGATATTTAGATAAGATATTGACATGCGATAAGACACGCGATTTGTTAGTGGTATACCATGTTCTTTTCCATAATGTTCCGCAATAACATTCTTAGTACTGAGGTTTTGGATGTCACACACGTGTTCAGATATTCGATCATGTATGGGTCAGCAAGTTTCTCCTATATACGTACTAGAGCATCTGCCACAAGTTACTTTATAAACAACGTTTTTACTATGGCATCTATCATGTAGTCCATAGTAGCTTTACAGTTATTTTCCATACATTGTGTTTCCTTCTTCTATGCTGAACTTGTTATTAATGATTTAAGGAGATGCCTGGTTTTTGTACTATTTTAATAGGTAAGTCTGATGCTCTAGTTATTCTCTTTAGTTTTGTGGTGATATTATTATTTATACTTGGAACCACCCAAGTAGACTGAGCTTTAAATGTGTGTTCTTTATTTCTACGGTTCAAGAGAACATGTCTATTTTCTCTTTGCCTATCAAAACTTCTTATTATGTTTTGTATAAATTCCAGTGCATAAACATTTTTCTTAAAAGAGTCATCAGGTTTTCATTATCCTCCTCCCACATTTCTTTGTTATTACAAACTTTATCAATCTGTGGAGGTAGCCAATAACGATACCTTTTTTTACAGCAGAGGATGATGTGAATGGGAATGCAAACAAAGAGCTTTAGTAGATGACTTGATTAAAATACCAGTAATGATTTCCCCATTCCTGACATGAATTGTGGTATCTATAAACAATAAATTTATACCTGGTATAGCATACGCAAGTGTCAATTTTATGAATGGATGAGCTGTATTCAAGAACTCATAGAAACTAATAAGAGGGTCCGGCATGGCCAGGTTGTTAGGGCGCTCTAACCAGGTTCGAATCCCCGTCTCACCAAACATGCTCACCTATTCAGCCGTCGGGGCATTATAATGTGATGGTCAATCCCACTATTCGTTGGTAAAAGAGTAGCCCAAGAGTTTGCGGTGGGTGGTGATGACTAGCTGCCTTCCCTCTGGTCTTACACTGCTAAATTAGGGACGGCTAGCGCAGATAGCCCTTGTGTAGCTTTGTGCGAAATTCAAACAAACAAACTACAACTAAAATGACATTATACTTAATAATAGGTTTCGTAGGTAAATTGTGTAAGTTCAGAGGTATTAAAATGAATCGGTTAGCCATAAATATATAAATATTCAAATATCATACGGTAAACCTTGTGGAAATTACTCAAACATCTTTTATATTTTGTAAACCGTGGTGTCTAGCCGAGCGTTTGTCTGTCTCCCGTTTACGGTTACCGCTTTCCGCGCTGCGTTTGAAAAGCTGCGCACACAAACAAAACTCAATAATAAATAACAGAAGCAGCCAAAAATATATTCTACGAGTTCCTCGCACAATACAGAAACCCCAAAATCAAGATAACAGTATTACACTAATCATTAAAAAAGCTATTGAACACCTAACACATTACACAACAATTCGTATTTCCACAAACAATACAGCACACAAATACACAGTAAACATAAATTCAGAACATATATAACCTGATAACATAAAACGGATATTGTCCTGAAAAGGAAAGTTGCCATAGAAAGAGATAAACATCCAAACCATCTTACCTAAAAACCTAAAGTATAGAATATCAAATAACAACAGTGTAGAAGGGAGGAAGAGGTCTATTAAGAACCTGATCCTTCCAGGTGGTCAAAGACCTAAATCCCGATGATTAATCCAGCAGCTCAACACTCAATATTGAAATGGCGGAAGAACAGGCATGAATAATGTTGACGCCAACTTTTATTTCGCAAGCAGGATATTCTACACTAAATTGTTAGGAATTAATCGCACTTTTCATTCACATTTCAAAATGTGACGCAACTTAAATACAAAAAAATGTAGATTTGCTGTATGTTATTGTTGAGCGGCTTTTAATATGATTGAAATGCTTAACAATTTCTTTTCGCGGTGGGTGGTATAAGTAACTTAGAGCTTTGGCTCTGAGTGAAACTAAATATATAACATAATTAACCTTTTTAAAGTCCATGAAATAACTTAAACTGCTTGATTAACTTAAATTTTTTATGTCACTGGGGGCGGGTACTTTTGCTTATGGAAATAACACAAGAAAAATAAAGCATAAACGGCTTTAAGTATATCTCTTTCTCTGGTAAGCCGTTCCTTATCAAACAAAATTTAGTTAATAAGTGCACAATAGTTTATAGTTATTATTATTTTTCTTTATGTCTGTAGTGAGTAGAAATTTTTCCTCATAACTTGAATCGTACTTTTCATCCCAATAGATATATTTTAACTTCTTATAAACAGTAAAGAATAGTAGTGCCTATTACAGAATGTTGAAAAATATTATCATAGATAGCGCCACATACATTACGAAGATTTCAAAATTGCAATTTGTTGTTTGTTTGTGTGTTTGAAGTTAAGCGCAAAGCTACACAATGGGCTATCTGTGCTCTACCAACCACGGATATCGAAACCCGGTTTCTAGCGTTTTAAGTCCGTAGGCAGTTGGTAAACGATCAGTTGATCTTGAAATATGTTTAACTAAAATATCGATAAATATTTACGTACAAATAACTAAAAATATAAGACT